TTATATTTCTAGTTTATAAGTTTATATATAACTATATCTATATTTCTAGTTTTTGAGTTTATATATAACTATATCTATATTTCTAGTTTATAAGTTTATATATAACTATATTTCTAGTTTATAAGTTTATATATAATTATATCTATATTTCTAGTTTATAAGTTTATATATAACTATATCTATATTTCTAGTTTTTGAGTTTATATATAACTATATCTACTGTATATTTCTAGTTTATAAGTTTATATATAACTATATCTATATTTCTAGTTTATAAGTTTATATATAACTATATCTACATGTATATTTCTAGATTATAAGTTTATATATAACTATATTTCTAGTTTATAAGTTTATATATAACTATATTTCTAGTTTTTGAGTTTTTATATGTCATGATTATGCTCAACTATAACACTGACTACTTCGTTTTGCGTCTAATTTTTGTTTTTTCAACACTGTTAATTCATCAGAGCTAAGATGGCGGAATAAATAAAAACGAGCGTAGAGTTATTTATAGTCACCAGATGGCACCATCGTTTTAACACATCCTAGGAATACATGTATCAACTTTCACGTGTTTTGTATTATTTTTATATTAAATAGTTTTTTTTTAACGTTTCATTTGTTTTTCTTTTTTTATTCTTCTAATACGTATTTTGTGAGAAAATAAATCAGGTAGTAACGTAGATTATTTTAGACCAGTCGAATTGAACAGGTTGATTATTTCTGACGAACCTTGAAATATTTGTGTATTGAATTTTTACATTTCTGTGTAATATAATAAAAAAACAATGAAACTTGTACGTGGATTACAGTGAACCTTTATTTACACAAAATAATATATCAGAAAAAAAAAAACGTTTTTATTACTTTACTAAAATATATTGTTGTACACGTGTATATTAAATTATCTTGTGGCTCACAGTAAATCTTTATTTACACAATAATTAAGTTTTTTTTTTTAAATCCTTTTTGTTAACTTACCATATAATAATGTGGATTAATTTAGGTGCGTGATTAATATTATGGCGTGAGTAATATTATGGCCTTAATGTATTCCTTTGGCTTACTGACTCAAGCTGTGCTGATGAAACTACAGTCCACAACAGAGACTACAGCCAATCACAGAATGTATTAGTTCTGTACGTCATAGATTATATTTTCAGTTTGAACGTCTGTGAAAACGAAAAGAAACTTGTAATATATATATATATGCTCACATTGTTGTACATATTATGAAACACCCCCCCCCCCGATGAAATCTGGCCAATAAATGTTCTTTATTCTCTGAATTTACTGCCAAAGTAAGATACCACATTATATATCCAAACCAGTGTTTATGAAAGTATGCATAATTAATATGATAAAACTTGTCGCTAGATGGCGATACAACGCCAGAAATGACACGTCGTGTGGCCTGTTAATTGTTTATATACTAGTGGTGTGTTTCTCGTGGGTTCTAGAACGATCGATAAGACTGTCACGTCGCGATTGGTTTAGAGAAATCTTTAGCTAGTTTTAAGCATAACAAAATTTGACCCGATTTCAATGAAAATGATTCACTTATGTAAAGATACATATGACGTTTTGTGAAAAATCTGTAAGTGATGAAGAAAAATTGATATTTTCGGATTTATCGTACAGGAATTAGTGTAGAACATGTAAAAACTTCAAGACAGTAAAACCATCGCAGGCCTGTGTTAGATATAATATTCAAGACAGTAAAACCATCACAGGCCTGTGTTAGATATAATATTCAAGACAATAAAACCATCGCAGGCCTGTGTTAGATATAATAACTGTTCTGTTAATCAGTTTTAATTTATTTGTTGGGAAGGTTGTTTTGGCTAGAAAGCAATTTGCGTTAACAAAACTTTCAAATAAAAATAATAAGATATATAAAAAATTGAATTGTTTTATTAATTTACTTATAAATATGATTATTCATCATTAAATATTCGCCCCCAGTGGTGCAGAGGCATGTCTGCGGACTTACAACGCTAGAAATCGGGTTTCGATACCTGTGGTGGGCAGAGCACAGATAGCCCATTGTATAGCTTTGTGCTTAATTACAAACAAACAAGCATTAAATATTTGCAACAACGCTTGCGCCATCTACCGGCTCGATATTAAATATAATTTACTTCAACTTTCAGGAAGTTTTAGGATACAAGATATTTTTCCCATTAATCATATTTCTGTTGTTTCTAAAATATTTTACACCTGAGTTGTGCTCATATTATAAGAAATGATACTGTATATATTTTTAGCTTTACAAGTTGTCTTAGTAAATATATTACAGAGGTTGAGCACACTACCTTAAATTGGTTTTGAAGCCTCACAACGTCGTTACAGTCCGTGTCGCTTCGTCTAGTCATGGCTCTATCTGAAAAACGTGCAACTTGAAAAATAACCCCACAGTGTAGTTCTCATTGCAAAAAGATCCGTTGTAAGATTGACATGTCCAAAGCACACCAACCTTCCCTGTATGCTTTCTATATTCCATCGGATGTACGAGGACGACGGTTTACCAGCAAATGATTCAACAGTCTGATCGCACAGAAACCCACAGTCGCTGTTTACGTCGAATTATTCAGTCTTAGTCTAGTTTGTTTCTAAACAGCATTTCTCAAATCGCAAACTAAATTAGCATGGAAATAAAAACAATAATATAGTAATTTTACGTTTCCAATAAACAAGTTGTCAAATTTAGAAAAAAAAAAATTTATTTCAGCCAACTTTTTTGTACCACTAGTACTGATGAAACCGTAATGGTGAAACGTTGGTTGAAATATTTTGTATTATTATTATTATTATTCGAAGAGCAAAGGTCTTTTTTAATAACTTTATTGTCAAAATGTCTAAAGTCTTCCAGTGTACATTACAAATTCTGCAGAACAACGTAAGTTTTATATGGATTTTGAGCAACAACGCAACTGGTAGATGAAAATGTACAGTATATCAATAATTTTATTTGTTCAAGTTCGTACTTAAAATATTGTTTTTCAAGTATGGGTAAGTTGTGACAAGCTGAGTCATGTTGTGTAGTGACTCAAAGTGAGTCAAGTTACTTCGTCGCTCAAGCTGAGTCATGTTGTGTAGTGACTCAAAGTGAGTCAAGTTACTTCGTCGCTCAAGCTGAGTCATGTTGTGTAGTGACTGAAAGTGAGTCAAGTTACTTCGTAGCTCAAGCTGAGTCATGTTGTGTAGCAGTGAGTCAAAGTGGGTCAACCCACACCATGGCTCAAGCTGAGTCAAGTTGTGTAGTGACTCAAAGTGAGTCAAGTTACTTCGTCGCTCAAGCTGAGTCATGTTGTGTAGTGACTGAAAGTGAGTCAAGTTACTTCGTAGCTCAAGCTGAGTCATGTTGTGTAGCAGTGACTGAAAGTGGGTCAACCCACGCCATGGCTCAAGCTGAGTCAAGTTGTGTAGTGACTGAAAGTGAGTCAAGTTACTTCGTAGCTCAAGCTGAGTCATGTTGTGTAGCAGTGACTCAAAGTGGGTCAACCCCACGCCATTGCTCAAGCTGAGTCAAGTTGTGTAGTGACTCAAAGTGAGTCAAGTTACTTCGTAGCTCAAGCTGAGTCATGTTGTGTAGTGACTGAAAGTGAGTCAAGTTACTT